TAACAGTGGTACTCATAAAAATGATAGTTCTCCTTTTGAAGATTTATTAATAATAAAATCAGTTTCTTTGTCTTAAACAAAATAATTTAATTAAAAAATACATAGAACATATGTAAAATATTATATGTTATAAGTAAGAGGCCACCTCTGGACAAAGATATTTATTTGAAAATTTGCATCCCCATATATAAAAATGATTTTGATGTGTAGAAATTTGGAAATTTCACTGGCTACATAGTGCCACTACTTTTATCTTCTCATAAGCACAGTTTTCGCAGTCCTAATTCTGTAACATACAGATGCCATTCATGTACTGTTACTGAAACCCTCTGAACTGGTTTACTCTCTTTGTATTCTCCCACTCTTCTATCTATGCTTTCCAAGATCATCTCACAAAGTATTTTTGGAACTCAAGGTGTTTTACTTTGTTTTGTTGTTTTGTTTTGAGACAGAATCTTACTCTTTGGCTCAGAATGGCTTTGAACTCACTATAGCCCAGGCTGGCCTCAAACTTGCGGCAACCTTCCTGCTTCAGTCTCCTGAATGCTGGGATTAAAGGTGTCTGCCACCACACCTGGTTGGAATTCAGGTTTTTAATCTCTTTAAATTAATGAGATTTGGCCAACTGCTTTCTAATACTTCATTTTTTTGACTTTGAGATACTAGTCTAAGATAGAACGGCCTCAGTATATAAAACAAATCATTCTAGTGTTAATCTGTTTGAAAAAGAATGAGATACTAGGACTTCCGTTCACATCTGCAGAACCTCAGTACACAAATGGCAGTACTTGAGGAGTCTGGAATTCCTAAAATTCTAAGTTAATTATAGAATATAATTTGATCATTGCAAAAGTTGTAAGAAAAACTTAAAAATGCAGGAAAGATTAAGTAATACAGTAAATCAGACATTATCTTCTATAATTTTAGGTATATTATTAACAGTCACAAACTCTTATTCAGAAAATGAGCTATTATGAATGATTGTATTTACTCATTATATATTTATTTATTGCAAAGAAATGTGAAAAATTACGTTTTAGATAACTTTTGACTAATCTTTAAATCAGAATTCTATCCACTGTTGGAAAGCATTTTTCTATTATATAAGTCAAAAGATCAAATAGCATACTAACTATAATTCTGCCTATTTAAGTACTTTTTATTCCTATAGGCATATAAAAAATATCTGCCCTGTTTTTCCAGTAAACCAAGTAATAGATTCATGTTTGCTAACAGGGAGTATTACTGTTTCTTCAATTAATAACAAAAGCATAAAAATGACCACAGACTCTATGTAAAAAATAAAAGGGTCCAGCAATTAAAAATTTTAAAATCAACTTGATATATTCTGTTAAAAGTATTCACTAGTAGATATGTAGTTTATTATCACCCACTTAGAAAAACCATTTTCTGAAGTGGTTTGCTTATGGTAAACTTGAAGACTTAATGTCAAATGTATCATAATAATAATTAAAAATGATAAAACCTATACTAATTATTGACAGATTTTTTTGAAATATTAGTTAATGCAGATTTTATTATTGAAAATAGGCTGGATTACTTTTGCTTTGCTATCACCAGAAAGACATAAGATAATATTTAAAGGTGAAAATAAAGAGATGTAGGGAGGGTGCAGGGAAAGGTTAAAAGAAAAGGAAGGAAAAGTGACAGAAATAAAGAAGAGGTGGAAATAGGAGTCTGAGAAACCAAAGGAAGTAATACAGACAGTAGAAACTGGGCTATGGGACTACTCAACTCACGTGACCTGCTCAATACCCCACAGCCGATCCCCTGACCTTGGTCCTAAGCCCTACTAACTGGAGGCAGAGAATCCTGAAGTTCCAAATTAAAACACGTATGTCCCAGATCCTCCAGCATGACTATCGCAGTGGTGGCGAACCTATGGCACACAGGCCACAGCAAGCTGTTTGTATCAGTGAAAGCTCTAAAAACAGTGATTGTAAACCTTTTAGACTGCAAGCCAAAACCCACTTGTTTATTGCAATTTAAACCTGAATACTAAGATTTTAGTTTAGAAAAACCAACTGTTATCTGATTCTTGGCTACTAGAATGACTCGCTTAAGGATGCTGACCCGAGAGGGCTCAGCGTGCTGGCCTCTGTACATGTGCCATAGTTTTCTCACTATGCTGCTCTAGAAGTTTCACCATCACTGACCTGTAGTAACGCTCATTCACCTGGAGATCATTAAAGGTTCATGCATATGAACTGCATTTCATACATTCAATTATAGCAGAGTGAATTATTGGAAAGGATATGCATAACAGACACAGCTAACAGGACTCAGAACCTTGTCAATCATGTTGTCAATCACACCCCTAGAACACCCAGTGGGAGATGCCATAGACCTAGCCCAAGATTTTAAATTCATAAACCCAATGCATTCAGTGCTCTTGCTAGTTTCCTTTCTGCTAGAGCAAGCCTGCTCACTCTGAGCTTGATTAAACTTCATTAAACTTTGCTAATTTCTCCTTACCATCAAATGCCATGTCCAGTTCCTTTTGCTCATTGCACATAAGAACCTAGAAACCTCTCTGGGACCCCATCATTCATGGAAACACAGGTATCTGGGATGCCAAGAGAATGGAACGCATGTGAACCTTTTTAATTCACAAACCCCACATGTGGTTGAGAAAACTGGAATTCCAGCACAGCCAAACTAAAGTTACTAGGTACAGAAAAACCTAATCTTACTAAATTTGTTCTTCAAGTTTAGTAGGACCATAACAATTTTCTGTCTGCCTGATCAATGACTGAGAAAGTTATATTAAGATCTTCTACTATAATTGAGATGTTTTGTTTGCAAAATTTTGCTTTATATATTTTGAGAATATGTAGTCAGAGGGCTAGGGATTTAGCTCAGTGGCACAGTGCCTGCCTGGCAAGCGCAAGGTCATGAGTTCGATTCCTGGTACCGGAAGAAAAACCAAAACAAAAGAGAATATGTAGTCAGAATAAATGGACCTTAAAGTAGACTTATCCTAGTATTAGTATCTATTCTAGCTGTTTTTAACTGATAAACACACAAAATAGGCCTGTGTATATTATGTTTTTAAAAAAATAGGACAAAGTTACATTTTACCTTCCATTGTTAAAATATCTACTTCTATAGTTTATTCTGCATTTACTATAATTAGAAAGAGGAAAACAACCTAATGGGGTTAACTTGTCCTTTAAAAATTTCCTTTACAAACTTGCTTTCTTTTTTCTTTACTTTTGCCCAGCATTCAAAGTTCTGAAGAAAATTCACACCTAAATGATTAAGATATTAACTGCTAGTCAGCTGTTCCAGGAAAAAAAAGGAAAAAGTGACACATCTGTCATAAAAACTCGTGATTAGTAATCGTTCTTTAAATTTACAAAACCCGGAACATTTAGTGTCTTTAAGATAACATCTGACTGTGGGTCAAGGAAATGGACCACTGCACAATTAATGATTAGCATTCACCCCACAGTGGCTAAAAATACACTTCCTTAAATTTCCAATTTAAAAAAATTAAATGCATGACCCTTACAACATGCAAAAATAATCTGAACACCATTCAAAACAGTACTTGAAAGAGGCAATGAGAAATTTCAACACTGAGGCTATTTGGTGATTTTAAAAGATTATTAACTTCTTTTTATTTTTATTAATACATGTTTGTAGCACATAATTATTACTCCCCCTTCTCCCCACCTTTTCTCTCCCTCCATCTCTTGATCCCATTTGCTTTTGCAAAAGATATTGATATAAACTCTGCACTTGGTTGTTAGTTCTGCAGGTACTTAGGATGCAGCCTGAGCTTCATAATAAATTTCTTTCTCTAACAGTCTCTTGCCACTTAACTACTTGACTCCTGGGATTCAGAGGACAGACTGCAGCTTTTGTACTTCAACAACATAACCATTTATTTTACATCTTATTTTCGGGGGGTTTATTTACCATATCCTTTCTGTTATTGTTGTTTTTGTATTTTATTAGATTCATCAAGATTTTTAAAATGTTGCCTCAATCTGATTTAGAAATTATGTATTT